ATGGAGTATATATGACATTGTGATTGTAGTGCTACTCATTTACACACACATACTAGTTCCAGATAAGGTATTCTCCACTTGGGCTGCAGCTACACTGGTCATTTACACAGTGCCTCCACAAACAAAAGCTCTATTCTCCTCTTATCTTGATCTACTTAGACACACCTTTCTGCTGCTGCTGGTAGATGTTTAACTTGCCAAATATGCTCCGTGTTTATGAGCAAAAAGAGAACGGTTTCGCAGGCAAATTTCTTTTTTATTTACGAACACACACAGCGCCATTAGCTGTCAGTGTGAGAGCCGTAATGTCATAAAGCAGCATCAAAGCCCCGATTGATTCATGCTGGATTATGAAAGTGACCCTCGAGGCATAAAAGAGCAAACAATGGCGAAACAAATGGAACAATAGCGCAAAATTAATTATGGTTAATGTTCAAGAAGTGGAATTTTAATCTGTTTATCTGTCAAGAAGTTGCCACAGAACATTAGAAAGTTTGCTAATTTAGTAAAGGTGTGGAACTGGCTACATTAGCTACGTTTTTGTTCTAATATGGTCTTCAATTTGATACTGCTGCCACTACTACTACTGCAGCTGCTGCCACTACTACTAATACTACTACTACTATTATTACTAATGCTACTACTACTAGTACTTGTCGTATGGTGAATGGTGGTGCAGCTGTTAGCTCTTGTGTTTCGCAGCAGGAAGTTCCTGGGTTAGATCCTACATCCAGGACTTTTTGTGTGGAGTTTGCATGTTCACCCCGTCTCTGTGTAGGTTTTCTCCGGGTGCTCCGGTTTCCCCTACCACTAAACCCATGTTCAATAGTTCAGGGTTAATGAGTGTGTGTTTGTGGGTGCAAATGATGGACAATGAATTCAAATAAGCTCAAGGCTACAATCCGAAGCCTTGTAAATTTCAAGAATACTAGTACTGTCACTACTACTACTACTACTACTACTACTACTACTACTACTACTACTACTACTATTACTACTAAGTTTTGTTCATCGTCTGGATTTCATGAAGCCAATATTAGCTCTATAAAATGATATTAGAACAATGACGGCTGCCAGTCGAGTTAGCCATAAACCAGGGGGATCCAACAATAATATGGATTATTTGTGCGGCTAATCCACTGCTGACACCTGTGCACATTTTGCAGATTGCCCCGGCCCTCCTCTGTGATCACATTACAGGCCGTCCCGGCGGATGGACCACAACTGCTCAGAGGGCCCAGCCTCTCAGCGGGAAGCTATGTGTGCATCGCTGGACTGGGATTTCCCATAAGGCCTTGCATCCTGGTTGGGTTAACAGTTGTTGAGACTCACAGCCTTTGAATGTATATGAAATGGTGATAGATTTTTGGAATAATATGGCGTCAAGGCGGGGCGGCAAAATACAACAGGCCTACTTTGTTTTTGACACCGGTTTGAACCTGACCCAATGAGATGCAAAGCCAACAGTTATGGAAATATACGTGTCTGATCTTGTTCTGTTTTGCAAAAAAGCAACATTTCAAAACAACAGACAAAAAATAGCTTCTGCTAGTAAATTGCTTGCGCAACAAAACAACATCCTTATCCAGACAGAACCAGATAAGTGAGTTTAAATATAACGTTTATTCCTGTTTTCCACTATTAAAGCTGTATCACTGCATGTATTTCCTCCTTTAAAGTGGTTAGCTGCAAAAAATGTGACCTTTTTGTCCACTTTTAACTCCTCTCTGAAATATTTTCTCAGCACAAAGGGCCCAGTCGTTACTGCAGTCCTGTGAGATTGTGATGGGTGTGAGACCAAAGTTTCAAAACCAACCAAAACCAAAACCAGAAAAAACAGGTTCCTAATCTTTAATAGTTATCACATGTTAGCTTGTCAAATAGATAAAATGCATTGTTACAAATTGTGTCAGAAAGCTAGCATCTTTGATATAGTGCATGCACAAGATCGTTTGAACAAAGCCCCCCTCCTTTCTTTCTTTTTGCTAAGATTTCTCAAGAACAGTGTGGGGTGGGGTTCAGGCTGAGGGCTGGGCCAAAACAAAAGCAGGATGTGAGACAGCAAATGAATGAACGCGCACTGCTTATAGACAAGGGCGCCACCTGTTGGACAGAGTGGTCTCAAAGCTGGAAGAGTTCTGGTAAAATTCCACTGATGCAGATAAGGAAGAGCGTGGAAGAACATGGAGGGAGATTGAGTTTTTGCAGCAGGTTTCAAGGCAATTTGTTGAGGTGAACTTGACCAGGCGACAAACTAGACTGAATCGCGTCAGCTGGGTTTGTTTTCAGAGTTTTAGAAAGAGAAGAGAGTGCAGTGGCCCCACCCATCTGCTGAGTCTGGAGTGAGGGACCCTGGTGAGGTGAGAGTCACATGGTCTCCTGTCTCTACAGCCTCTACAACAAAAAGACAGGCCAGATCTTGCCTGTGATGCAAGGGGAATTCTTTGCATTTTTTACGAGCGTCGACTTTTATTGTAAAAACTTGAGGCACACAATGGATTTAATGTGATTAGTTCCCCAGAAGAGCCTCTCCAGACTCAGACTGTGGCCCCAGCTGCATCCATCCAGCCTCAAAGCACTTTTTAATGTAACTCTAGAAGGGTGAGGCCCACTACACTATTGATTACTTAACCGGCCATTAGACGCAATCTGTTCTGCTATTTATGAGCAATAAATAAATATAGTAATTGCATGTTTAAGCCTGCGGAATTATAATATCAGTCGTGTGTTATTAGCTAAACATTCAATTTTGAGTATACACTAAAAAGCGGGTGTAGATTTTACTGTTAGATTTCATACCATACCAATTCTTTATGCTTATACGCCAGGGGTGTCCAAACTATTGTTGGTCTATACAACTAATTTGGGGCTTCCGACTCATTTGGAGTTGCCTTTACTGCAAATGTTTATCTACTAATAAATGTTTTCATGTGATAAATGGGGTGTTAAGTTTATCAATATCTGGTTCGATATGAGAATGAGTCACTTCACTTTCCCCTGTGGCCCTCTGCTCTTACATGTGTTTCAATATGGGGCCCTCGGTCATCATGAAACTGAATCAGGCCATAACGAAACAACAATGGCAAGGCATTTTTATATGTATAGCACGGCACAAGGCAAGAAAAAGTGCTGTATAAAACAAGAAAGAAAACATTCTAACCAATAACATTTTTTTTTTCCATGGCTATACTTCATAACTATAAACACATTGGAGCTGCAAAGTCCTGCACGCCTCTCTCTGGTTCCAGATGTGAAATCTCAAATATTTTTTTTGATAAATTCAAGTATTAAGAGTTTTGAAGACACAACAGAACCACTCTGGTCCTTTTAGCTCGAGTTCTCTGATAACTTCTTTGGTTTTCAGTCCAAAAATAACCTCTTTCCTCACAGAACAGCGCGGTGGACGGGCACTTTATTAGAAATGGTTATTCTGATGGTTAAAAGGCTGTGATCCAAATGTCAGCAAAGTCAAAATCGCACAGTTCACATCATGTTGAGTCCATATAAAACTTGTGTACTTCCTCAAAAAGTCTTCCTCGTCAGAAGCGTGTAAGTAGAACCCATGAATAGAATGTAGCACTGGCTGAAACAGGCCACATGAGCTTTGACCTCCACATTGGCCCCTGTGGAGGTCAAGAATCGATCTGGGTCCCCGCCATTCTTCCGACTATACTCCAGATAACACAATAAGAGCCCATCCCCTGTTTTTGAATATGAATTATCTGTCCATGTACCAGGGTTAGCCCGTATATGTGCCCGCAGCGCTAAATGTGAACGGATTCGGTGTAATTTCTCGCTGCATTTTGGCAACTTTATGTTACCCTTGGAGGTCAAAGAGTAATGACTGATGCAAACTTACACCACAGTGCTGCTCTAAAGAAGAAGCCCTTTATCTGTTCGTACATTCTCCTCAGAGCAAACGTTGTTCCCTGTCGTGAGCCAATAAAAGCGGTATTTTCTTAACCTGCCATTAACTTAAATCATAATTTATAATAATGCATGTTTTTCAGGCACTAATAGTAGTTTTCTCACTATAACAGATGTTTCTGCAGACTTGTCAGGTCTTGCTCAGAGATAGCTTCCCCCCGCCGGCCTCATGGTTGCGTTTTAAAATCTATTCCTACAAGTTTATGCACGCAGGTCAAATATGTTTTCCCCAGAACAAAACATGTACCAACACTGGCCCTCCGTTTAGATTCATGTAGGTAAAAGTGCATTGTGAACTAGATTGGTATCAAAAACATTATTCTGAATGGATTTCAATTTATAGTATTACTTTTTGGAGCGGAAAAATTATGATCCAGGACCCCCACAACGAGATTTGATGAAAATAACTTTAAAAACATGCCAAATCAAGTGTGTATAAATATGTTCTTGTTTTAATTGAGGCCATTTTGAGTTGTATCAGTGTCTTTTCATTTCCTTGGAACAGTTATAATAGTAGGATTGTACATTACATAAAGTAGTAGTATATGTGTACATAGGGCTGACTTATCTCTCACCGTAAGAAAGATAGGAAACCACTAAAACAACTAAAATAAAATAAAAACAGCGTATATATGGACTTCATTATTGTTTTTTATTATTATTATCATTATACGTATTTATTGAACCAAAAAAACCATCTATGACATCAGTCTTGGCCAAAGTATTACTCATAGACTGCAGTAAGAAGAGCAAATACGGTGTAACGTGTAGTTTTATCGTTGAACAGCAGCACCCTCTACCGGACCCTTTTGGCATCACATCTGTTTTGATTTTTTTTTTTTTTTTTATAATATCCAACATGGCTGCCCCCGAGAAGACTGCTTGTTTTTCTACGTGAAGAAAGAATATAGATTATTACAGGTATATATTAAACATGAATACATTTTACAATATCCATGCTATAGAAGTAATTACAAACCTTACTATGTTTCTTCTACATGCATTGAATGATAACAATTCTCATGCTACTAGGTTTTGTTTGTATATTTACAGTCTTCACACTTGCAGATGTCATGGATTCTAATGAAATCCTCCACTGTCTTGAGCAAATGGACAAACTCAATGCAGAGAGAAACTACAGCGACATGTTGGTGCTTCTCAGGGACTTGGACAAGCAGCATGTCTCTGCAAAGCAACTGCAAACCACGGATATTGTCAAAGTCCTCTACCAAATCCTCAAATCCTGCAAAGACGACACTGTAAGGAAGACGGTGAGGAGAGTATTGGCCAGATGGAGAAGAGAATTTGGCAAACAGAGGGATTTGGAGCCGGAGCCATGTGGAAATACTGAAGCAAGTGACACTGGAGTCGATTTGAAGCAACAAGAAGGCTCTTCCAATCCAGACCATGTCAATTTATCTGAAAATGTATCGTCAATTCGATCAAAATGCGTGGAACTTCTTCTGTCTGCCATCTGCCTGCAGCCCAGCGACCGCGAGAAAGCTTCAAAACTCTCAGAATGCATCGAAAACAACATTTACGACCTGCACAAGTCCAACACGCCAAAGTACAAACGCTGCGTCCGAAGCAAAATATCAAACCTGAGGAACCCCAAAAGTGGTTATCTCAGGGAGGGGCTTCTGAACGAGTCGATATTGCCCCAAGTCTTTGCCCAGATGTCCACGGAGGAAATGGCCAGTCCAGATTTGAAGCAGCTGAGGCGGGAATACTCTGTGAAAAGCGTGAGTGAAAGACAGTTGCCAGGGACGGTAGACGGGACGGCCACTACGAAGGTCCGGTGTAGGAGGTGCGGAGGGATGGACTGTAAGGTGACGCAGGTGTCGAGGGGGGCCCTGTTCCTGCCCGCCTGGGTCAGACAGAGCGGCCCTGACCACGATTCCATGACCTTTGTGACCTGCAGCTCGTGCGGACAGCAGTGGTACCTTAGCAACTGGGTCTGCCTTTGAACAACAGAATGGCCCAGTCAAAGTCCAGACATAAATCCAATAGAAAATCTGTGGAAAAGACCTGAAAACTGCTCGCCAGCTAATTTGACAGAGCATGAGTTGTTTTGTAAAGAGGAATGGGCTAAACTTTATCTCCCTACATGTGTAAATCTTGTAGAGTCATACCCTCAAAGTATTAGCTGTATGAATACTTGTGTATAAAATATTTTTGTTTGTGGTTGTAAACATGACTAAATGTGCAAAAATTCAAGCTGTATTAAAACTAATGCGAGGCTATCTACACTTGCAGACGCACTACATTATTGACCTGAAAAGTAAAAGTACTTTCATTTTTATAGAAGTAAAAGTACATCAGATATTGATTGTAACTGAATTAGCATTACAACATATGCACAAGTACAAGTACATCACCTTGAAGCTGCACCATTTACAAATTTACCCGTAAAACATGTTATTCCTGATTTTTCCGGTCAATTATCAAGTACGAAATGAAATGAGTCAGCTGGTATGGTAAGACCAGGCTAGTGCCGAGACCAAATAACTTCTTACACCATTTGACAGAATGAAAATGTGTGTTATCCTCAGTGTCGCCAGTAGGGGGTAGTATTACTTTGCAAAACGTGGCGGTGTTGAAGTTATTATTTCAATATGATTTGGGTCATCTGCATGTACGGAAAATTCTACTCCAATCAAATCTAGATAGCAAACCTTTGATCCGTGGCTGGAGTTAAAATAAAAACCTTAAGATTACAAACTGGAATGTTTGGTTTTTTAATGACTTTAAAGTAAGACTATTTTATTTCTATTCAAGATGTGACTAAGTTTTCTGAGCATTGTGACTTGTGTTTTTTTCATGTGACCAACGGGAAATCTGCAGCATTTGACTTCCATATGATCCAGTGTTGAGTAACCACAGCCCAATGAGGACAAAACCGCTCATCCAAACAACCTTTTCCTTCATATTTCTCATTTCTCCAGGCTGATGGCCGTTCTAATCAATGTTTCGCACAAGTCCCGCAACCAAAGACGTCGCCAAAAGCAAAACAAAACCAATATATTGTTAGAAATCTTGGTAATTATCGGTTTTGATCGACAAAATGCGTTCAAGTCTGGTTGTTTCATGACCTCTATGTAAAGTAAGACATGTTTTTGTTTCTATTCAAGATGTGACTGGGTGGAAGTTTCCTGAGCATTGTGACTTCAACTCCCCATGTGACCAACGAGAAATCATTCCACTTCCATTCCATCCAGCATTGAGTAACCACAGCCCAACGAGAAAACAGCTCATCAAAAATGCCAAGTCCCAGAAGCCAAAGATGTCGTCAAAAGTAAAAAACACACAACCACAAATCTGGGCAAATGTTGGCTTTGGGATCGACTAAATGCATTCTTGTGGCGCAGCAGAGCGTAGGCAGAGGCATGTGACTCCGGCAAACAGGGAGCATGTGAGCCAGTAATCAGCTCCATAATAATACTCAAAGCATAAACGGGGAATTATTATCAAATTTAGCAACATTCTAAATTCAATTGTGACTAAAAAAATGTGTGAAGTCAACAACACAGGAAGCAGGCCTGACGCTGAGTTCTAAGTCCTCTGTGCTGTTAATTATCACACAATTCCAGCCAAAATGAACCACACTTACCACGTTTATGACCGATTTGACGTTTATTTATTTAATTGATGTCAGTCTATCTCTGTCTTTCATTATTTAATACAGTTTGGTTTAGATTGTTTTTTTGCTATAGTTGATACATATAAAAATACATTATTTAGGTTCTGTATGGAGCTCAAAAGAAGTAGGCAGAAGCAAAAATAAAATACTTACTAAAATAAATGTCTATCTATGTGTTATTCTGTATTTTATTGTATAGTATGTTGTATAAAAACCTTGGTGGATAATCCGGCATAATTCCTTTTGTTTTCCACTGATATCAGTTCATTAATGTGCATTGTCCCCATCTTATAAATAAAATAAATAAATACAAAAGTACCTGAAGTACCTTATGCTATATGATGTTATTGTAGGAGTACTTGTAGCAGTTTTTACATATCATTTAAAGAAACAAAACTCAAAAAGAGAAAGCAGAAGCAAAATACTTACATGTGCCGTCCCCCTTTTCAATACTACTTTTAGTCACTTATATGAGCATACGTTTAGGTAAATAGCAGGATATGTACACATGTTTTGAAAGAACTGCTCTCTCCACTTTCTTGAAAAACACTGATCTTATTTGACGAGCACGTATCACCAGAAGGATTGACGGTTAGACGAACCAATAGTCTCGATGACACCACATTTTCACTGCAATCAGAATTTTGATTTTTGTATTGGCCGAGGGTAGCACTTCTCCAGCGTTCTCCCCAAAGGCTCATCCACACAGGCAGGGTTCGCTCCTCGGGCCTGGGGGGGTTATCTGCTGAGATAGAGGCTGAAGCTGAACCATCCGTCACACAAAGCTGTCCCTGCTCTCCGTCACAGCCACATACAGCACTGATGGTAGATTATCGGTGGATATGGAGGACTGAGGAACCACAGACGGACTCCCACAATGAACTTATAGAAACGTACTGCTTTGGTGCTGTGTGTATAGATGTTACTGTATTATTATTACCAGTGGATTCATATCTATAATCAAACATATTGGTCCGATTAAGGGTCATAATCAAAGATATACGTGCGATATGTATTTGGCCTAAATTGGGATATAGTACCTCAGTTTGGCTACCACAGACCGCAGAGGCTGGGAACCACTTTTATGGCTCTTGGTAGGAATTTAAGAAATGTTTGTAGATTTGTATCGATCCATTGTTACTTGTAAAACTTGTTTGCACCAAGAGCCAAAACAGTTTCCTTGTTTGTGACTTTCTGTTACTTACAAGGACAACAAAAAGAATTCTGATTGTGATGAGAATACGGTCTGTGTTTTAACAAACTTGATACTGATTAACAACAATTCATTACTAAGAATAATTATTACCCTGCTGTGATAGGAGTTTTATATATGTTTGACAATGAGCTTTCTTTTTTTTTTTAAACATAAATTACAACATTATTTTTACCACAATGTCCCACACAAGTCCATCTCCAATCTCCTGCACACCTTTTACTATAGTTTTGATACTAATTTCTTTATCGATCAATAAAATGTATGTCTCTAACATTTTAAACCAGCTCGTTTAAACACATTGTCGATTCATATTCGATTGTCAATACATAATTCTTTATTTTTAGTATAAAACTTGATCTTTTGTTTGTTTGTTTTAATTACAAAAAGACAAATATACATCGACAACGAAACACGTTCAATGACGAAGACAAAACACAGAAATCAACAATATGTACACAAAAAACATTCATATTGGATTAGATATATGGTATTATTTTGATTTTACGACTTGAATGACTGATATATCACAGAGAGAGACATTAGATATAGAAAATTAGACTATAGAGGGTGTTAAAGGTCGTTTTCTTCTTCTTTGAGTTGGGGTTTTTTGCTGTTTATAAGGGTTATAGATTTAATGTAGTTGTTGATTTCGGAAATGACTGCTTGGAAGGATGGTTTGGTTTTGTTGTATTTTGGTAAAAAAAACCATTTGGTAATTATTTCAATGTTATTGTCTTGGTGGGAAAAATGGGTGATAATGTTTCTGTCACAAATAGTTATGGGGGTGTTTAGTTTTTGGGATAGAAATGGACTTATAGCTTGATGAGTGGTATAAAACTTGATCTGAGTACAGGGCTGGAGTGGGCGTGACGCACTGGATCACATGAGCAGCATCACAACATTACACTCAGCACACACACACACACACACACACACAGCACTCACACATACACACACAGACAGACCACAAACACACACACACACACACAGCACTCACACAGACCGCAGACAGAACCATCCAGCTGCGCAATGGCCTCACGGATGACGAGAGTCTGAGGAACCGCGCGGACTCAGGTAAGGGAGACTAAATATCAATCTATTCAGTTATATTATGATTTATGTTTAAGAAACGTGTAGAAGTGACTGTTTTCTAATCAGCAACACATTTCTGTAAGCTGGACGCAACACCAAAGACTTCTCAAATTTCACTTCCAGTTTTTTGGGCACACTTTTACGCGCGTTAGATTTACAGACTAAAACATGACCAAACATAGGTCTATAAACCGGTTCGTTCGGTTCATGCGAGCTCAAGAATCCCCAGGCCGTGGAATGAGTAACAAAACACGGTCATATGGTCACCGCTGAGCCGAGGAGGCACATGACCAGAGCGCGCACCGGTAATATGCAGAGAATGATGCCTGCGAGCAACTTTGCGCACAAACTTGACTCACAGTTTGCACCAGTGACGCAGAAGGAACGTGCAAAAACTATATGGGGGCCCTGGACAAATGTGTGGGCCCTGAGACAAAGTGGCCCCCATTACCAACAGCGAGATTGAACCCTGTGTGTTTTGCAAATGTTTTATATTTTGTATTGTCCTGTATTTACTATAAAAATGACACTACAATAGATATAGCATTAGCATGGAGGTCTGGGGGCCCAATATCCAAGTTTTTATTATTATTTTGTTTTAAGGAACAACTGGATAATTCACAGCAGCAATTTAGATATTCAAAAGCTTTCATTTTAGATGGATATTGGTCGTGAGTGTGGTCCAATAGCTTATTATAGGGGCTTTTCCACTGCTTGACCCTTGCTTAAAAATGTCTGGAAAGCCCTTCTCTTCATGCTGCAGCCCTCCAGCGTAGGCCCCTGTGCAAGTGTGAATATCTTACCGCACATTGCACACAAAAAAATAAAAATTTGGCACATTGGCCGACTGACTCTTTGGACTAGATGACCTGATGACAATGATGTACCTACACAATAGATTTGAAGTGTGTGTGACCGAGAGAGAGACTGTTGGTGTGATATCTTATTTAAAACCCAATTAAAATGTATTTATAATGAAGGCCAGCTATGCCACTCAGGTTGTAGGACCAAGTGAGCAATTAATAAAACCAGATAATAACATTAAAACACATGTATTGCAGTACTTTTAGATAGATATTTGGATGGAGAAACCACGTGGTACAATGAGTTACTGATGCAGCAGATTACAAGTATATATTTGGATGTGTGCTGTCTTGTGCCTGTTTATGCAAATATTCTTCATCTTTCAGGTTTGTGGAAGATGAGCAGTGTTTATTGAAGGTATGTAGTCTTTATATACCTTTATTTACATTTAACCCCTGTTCAGAATTGGAGAACGGTGGATAGAAGCGAAAGTGCATTCTGTTATCCTGCCGCCAGAGGACGCTAAAGCACCGTATTACTAGGAATAGGATCACGTTATGTCGTTACGTTCCTTCTACCTCTAAAGCTCACATGCTTTTCATCTTCAGCAACATTCTGAGGACATTTTTCTCATTTTAGCTGCAACTTCTAATCCATAAAACAACAACACAACGAAATCCTACTCGTTTCAAAATATTCTCGCTCTCATTTGATGCTAGCACTGTTTTTTACATGTATTTATGGTCTCTGTCACATCTTAAGATACATTTTTTTCAGACAGAATAAGTGGCTGAATGAGGAAGATCTCTATTCAGACAGATCTCAGCCCATAGGGTCAAAATGTGACTCACAGGGCTCTTCCTTACTACTATCCAAAAGATGAACGTTTTTGGTCCACGTTGATTAGACTTGAATAAGACTTTCTCTGTTGGAACAAACAAAATGTGGTATTTGTAAGAAACAATAGTAAGGTACCCCAGCTTTAAAAAGATGGAATTTTTGGTAAGAATTGTCAAAACAAACTTAAAAATGGTCAGTATTTTATGAAATGTGATCTTGTTGGAGTGAGAAAGGCAGGACAGTTTTGCCAATGGGACAAAGCCAAATAATCTGGTTTTAAAAAGATACAAGAAATGTCTCCCTTGGAATAAGACCAAATGTCCTTGTCCCAATCGGCAAATGTTGTCCAATCGAGATAAATTAGGCAATTATTACCTTGTATTTGATCATTTTTTGCAGTGCGTTACTAACAATCACAGTCAAAATAAATCTGATTCTTCCCATCTCTTCATCCTCAGCTTTCCCATTTACCTCCTCCTCCTCCTCTACCTCTTCCTCCACCATGTCCAAGACCGCCCTCCTCAAAGTCATCCTCCTGGGCGACGGCGGCGTGGGCAAGTCCTCGCTCATGAACCGCTACGTCACCAACAAGTTCGACTCCCACCTCTTCCACACCATCGGCGTGGAGTTCCTCAACAAGGAGCTGGAGGTGGACGGCCACGTGGTCACCCTCCAGATCTGGGACACGGCGGGACAGGAGCGCTTCCGTAGCCTCCGCACCCCCTTCTACCGGGGCTCCGACTGCTGCCTCCTCGCCTTCAGCCTGGACGACGGGCAAAGCTTCCGGAACTTGGCCAACTGGAAGAAAGAGTTTGTTTACTACGCAGACGTCAAGGAGCCCGACAGCTTCCCGTTCGTGGTGCTGGGGAACAAGCTGGACGTCCCGGAGAGGCAGGTGTCCGCGGAGGAGGCGAGGAGGTGGTGTGCGGAGAACGGAGGGCATCCTTACTTTGAGACCAGCGCCAAAGATGCTACGAACGTGGCGGGCGCTTTCGAGGAGGAGGTGAGGTGGGGGGGCGGTGAGGAGGGTTCTGGCTCAGGACGACCGAGCCGAGCAGCTCATTCACACAAACACTGTGGACATCCAGAAGAAAAACCACCACAACCAACAGTGCTGCTAAAACACACCTAGGATATTTTCAATTTTGGGGACTCGCAAACCTGTCTGTCCTTTCTGTGTGTGATTATTTTTAGTTTTGTCTTTCCAGAATGTGTCGTTATAAATGCAGAACTTTCTTTTAGAGCGATGTGAGGAACGATATGAATCTTTGGGCTCAGCTGGGGGAGTAAACAGATGTAAGTTAGAAGTAATTTTTATCTAAATACCGACCAGAGTCACAAAGCAGTTTACAATTGTGGGCATTTGTCTCTCACTCCACACAGAGATGGGAGAGAGGTCGCCAGAACAGGAGGCACATGCCAGACCTATTGTACATGTTTTTAGTGGTAGGGGAAACCGGAGCACCCGGAGGACACCTACGCAGAGACGAGGAGAACATGCAAATTCCAACCGGGATTCGAACCCTTTGTATGTGACGGATACAAACAGATTCAAATACTCTTTCATTGTTTGTGAATCAGGATAGATACTTGTGAATGTGTGTAGTTTTGACCTTTTGAGATCATCTTTTTTGGATTAAACAGTGAAAAAAAGAGAACCATCCAATCCGCTCTCAGCCCAAAGGTCCAAAAGAGTCGGACTCACAGAGTGTTCGTGCAACTATGGGCTCGGATTTGTTTGAACATTTTACGCTCATACGGCTCTTTCTGTGGGAACAAAAACATGTTTATGAAAAACACGGTACCACCTTTTTTGTTCAATTAGAATTTTAAATGGACGAACAAGAAACAGGAAACATGTTTTTGAACTGTTGAATATTTCACTCAATAAACTGCAATATTTGGGTGTTTTAAAATGCTTTCTGCTGCTTCTCAGCCCATAAGAGGTATAATATACTGCATATTAGTAGTACTTTTAGACGTATTATTAGACAACATGAAAAGTGTTGGTCAGAATGATTGTTTTTGGATTCATGATGAGGGAGAGGAGAGAGCTCTGGCTTCGGTCCTTTCATTTTAGTTGCATGTGTTTTGACAGATTTGCATTAGAACGAAGCAGGAGGACTTCACTAGTTTAAGCTTTTTAACATGAACAAAATATACAGTATTTTTGATGAAATACAGTTCTTAATTGGGCTCAAATAAAATGTGATTATACCAGGCTAGTTTTACAATCTCTACACTGGCCTCCTGTGCAAGAAGATACTATAAATACTTCTCTTGGTCCAAAATACAATAGAAGTATACGGTCGCTCCATATCTCAAAACATCAGGACCAAAAAGAGAGAAGGAATTCAGTTTTTAATGTTTTCCGCTGCTTGAGCTCAGACCTTATACAGTACCTCCAGATATGTTTGTAGATATTTTTCTAATATATTTATTGTAATCTATGAAAGTATTACCCCCCCAGTGTTTTGTCGGGTTCATACTATACATATACTTGGCCTAAAGGTGGCGCTGCTCCAGACACGGCTGCAATTCTATATTCTACTTCAGACACAATCAAGACACAAGAACAAGACGAATGACACGGGTCTCACGATAATAAAAAATATCGGTTTTACTAGAGAAGGTTACAAAAATCACTATATAGGAGTCATAGAACTATTTCCAACTTAAAAAAAAGAAACGAAAAGAGAAAAAAAGTAAAGAAAAAGCATAATGAAACATCTACAGAGACTACAATGCCATCAAAGTACAGCGGGTAAAGAACGGGTGAGGGGTGGGGGGGTGGGGGTAAGGTGGGGGTGGTGGGGGAGAGAGGGGGATTGCACACCGCCTAACCATACTGCTCAGTACAAGTAACTACACATCACCAGGAAAACATGTCTCCTTCATGCAAATAACAAGAAATCAACAACGCATCGTCCTATCAGAAATTTAATTCAACCCGGCGGCAAAAAAACACATTATTCAAAACATAAAACTACACATGGCAATATAGTCCGTTTTTTTTCTCTTTTTTTTATACAGAATAGACACACATGGACAATACTGACATGCTGCAAAGGTTAAAAATCGGTTTTCTTGAAGTAGTAATCTGGAGAAAAATTAACCAGCGATATATAATATAGTTTATGAGTACCTAACAGTATCCGGTTATAAAATTAATGTATGAAAATTCCTGACTTTTTGAGTGTAAACATCGAAAACAGTCTCATACGAAAGGCATGACGATACAAAGAAAGCGATAAACGAAAAAAAAACAAAAAAAGTGTATAAGAAATAGTATACATAGTTCCCACATGACGTCACTACATACGGGGATTTGCCGACCCGGCGCCATTTGTGTTGGCATGCTGTGGGCAAAACAATAGAAAAAGAAGCTGAAACGTGTTAATGTCGTGATAAAGTTGAAAATGGTCATCTCCTGCTGGGTCAATGGATGTTCAAATCGTGCCGGAGGTTCCGTTAAACTTGGATTTTACAGTATACCCATCATTAGACTTCATGAATGTGAGAAGACTAAGCTTTTGTCAGAACAACCACGGAGGTTATGGCTTGCGAAGATAAACAGGCAAGAAACTCCCTCAAAACACGCAAGAATATGCTCGGAGCACTTTGTGTCAGGTGCGTATCGTATCTTATAATGTGTTGACAGACGTAATTTACTCAGTACTAACTTGTGTATGCTGATAGCTGGTAACTTGAGAGTTTCATTATTTAGCGTTAGATTACTTTATTATGAGGAGGATCGGTGTCGCGTCCGAGGCTCTCGAGGGCAACGTAAATGTATTAAATAGATAATAATAGTTCTATGGTGGGCTAAAACAATGTTCACAAACAGCATTGCTTCTGTAAAAAGATCTGTGTCATAAAATAAACTGCTCTTTACGCCTGGAAAAATCAGTTGCCCACCATTCACCAAAACATACGGTCAAAAACGCGGAAATAAACAATAACAGCAATCCAGAGTGTCCGTGTGGCATTAGCATTAATTAAATTAATTGTTAATATAATTAAAATAATTAAATGGAGCTCCAACTGGTATTAAATCTAAAGTTTTTGAGAAATGTTTGCATTGCTTGTTAATTTTTGCTGCATAATTTGATCAAATATGTAAAACATGTCCGTAGCACGTTAAACTGTGGTGCCATTGTATTAATATACAATTATTTGCTCAAAAGTTGCCCTTTTTTTTCCAATTTGGGTTTGAATATCTACATTTATTCTCATTCTTCTGTTTAATGGAATGCACAAACACAGCAGCGTGCCATCAAAGATGGCGTCTCCGAGGAGGTCATGTGACATTCATTGGTCTGTGGGAACTATGTATATGGGTCACTCGTTTGGCCAGCCATAAAAAAAAAACAAATTTTCCCGTAATAACTGGATCACTTATATACCAGCTGCCTGTATTAGACGTTAAAAGCATTTCCCCGGTCACACCATATGCAAAATTACATTACAAGCGTCTCACACTGCAAAAAGTGGTGAAAAAAAGCCAAAGTTGCTCAAATTTGGCGAAATGTATCTTAATTTGAGCACATTTGTCCCAGTGGTAAAACCTGTTTTCAGACAATCATAATGCACCCAAATTAAGTTAAAAAAAACCCACTCGATTAAAGCAATTATTACTTCATATTTTTGTCATTTTTTGCAGTGCAGTCCATCGGCGTGACTCCACCGATCGTTGAAGATGTAACATGAATAAAATATCAAATGCAGAGATAGTATTTGAGTGCGAAGAAACACAAGTACATTTACACCAAATCTGTGGGAAACTATAATAATAATAATAATAATAATAATTCATGGCGAAACATTGATTGCGTTCTTGGTCGGGGAATTTTTTTTGGATTTATATTTACATGTGGATAGATTTGTAATATCACGGAGCACGGACTCTCGTAGAAAATGGCAGGTACAGTAAGACTCTTGTTGTTGCGTGACAGTGGTGTAGTTCTCTGAACAGAAACAAGCGCTTGGATCGGTTTTCCTGAGGTGTGGTCGGACTGTTGGCGCACCTGACATCTTGGAAATATTGATAGTATTGATATTATTCAAGCTACAACAACCGTCTTGCCTGGAATGCCACCGAGTGAGAAGTGCTACAGCTCTGATTGCTAAATGCACAATAGTCATAGTAATAATAATAATAATAATACTAATATTCTTACAGGGGCGAGTTTTATGCGGGTCAGTTTCCCTTGTTTTCTCAATAGTGCAACGTGTATCAGTCGTTTCAATTCAAAGGTAAAGATGACGAAAGAAAAAAAAAACAGTAGAAGAAGAAGAGAAACCTGGCATACGTTTCCGAGTATTAAAAAAAACAACAGCATTCGTACACATTCGCACAATATATTCATATATTTATATATATATGCATATAAAACACCAAAAAACAGAGGATGTCGGTCGCTGCCTGGCCTCCTGTTGCCAGGGCGACAGTGAACAATGTTTTTATTACAAGCAGTGATTCAAGAGGCTGCGCTGGCTCAGGCGGAGGCGCTCCGGGACTTCTGTGAGTGCAGTACCACCATACACGCTCCATGTACTGGCTCCACTATAGACTGTGTACAGATGGACATAGCTGCCCTCATAGCTCAATCCAGCCCAATGGGGAAGGGCTCATAGATGAAGTTTTGCTACTACTCACTCTGGCTCCCATTGACTTAGATTAAAGAGTAAACACCTCTAGCTAATAAGATAAGATCAACTTTATTGACATCGCAATTCCAGAATTTTGAAATAATGGTGTCATACTTCCTTACATTTAAATCCTGGTGTTTATATTGTAATTCATATTGACTTTGTGAATTCAGATAGGAGCCAAAACGACTGAACAATCAGGATCCTTTTTTTGCTGATTGAAGCTTTAGCTAGAGAGTATCGCCGTTCAGCTCAGCCGTTACTACTACTTTTGGCTCCACATTCCTGCTCAAATATCCTGCACAAGCTCTAATCTGAAAGGGTGACGTCAACACTCACTTTATGTCAGGAGTGGACCGACCAATACAGTCTTTGATATGTACATGTGTATACCAGTACATGTGTATACCAGTACATGTGTATACCAGTACATGTGTATAGCAGTACTACGATACACACAGTACTACAACTCCACACGCTGAACATACGTGTACTTGGATACATGCAGTAGTACTACAACACAGTAGAGTGTTCCGGAGCGCCTGCCTGAGCCGGGCCCCGTCCTGACCTCCACACACACACACACACACAGGGCAGAGGTCACGAGGGGCCGCTCAGCAGGGGGTGTCATGGGGGTGAGGGTGTGGGTGAGGTGGGGGGGCTCCTTTACGAGTAGGAGGAGTTCTGGCCCTCTTTGGAGCGCGCCTCGGCCTCGATGTCCTGGTCGTCCTTGGTTTTGATGTCCTGGTACTCGTGTGTGGACACGGCGCTCTTCAGATACGCCCAGTTGGCCGACAGGATCATCAGGTAGTGGATCTGGAACACAGAACAGTTCAGACAGTGTCCACCAGAGGGCAGCGTCTCTACTGCTACAGGAGCTTTAATGGTGACGTCATCTTCATAAATTGTACATCTATGACCATGGGGCCCTCTAGTAATGTGTACTAATGTGTACTAATGTGTACAGTAATGTGTACTAATGTGTACAGTAATGTGTACTAATGTGTACAGTAATGTGTACTAATGTGTACAGTAAGTATTTTTAAACAATAACATATTAGAACCTCTCGTCTCCCTAAAACCAAGATTTCCTGGAGTAGAATAATTCAATCAAGTATCAAATTAATAGGGACCTTTTAACCAAACAGAAACTGAAGAGTTTCACTTTCTTTGAGATTTGAAAAGTCAAACGCTGTCCATTTATTATGCATAAATACATCCAACTAGTTTCTTGCTCTTTGTCTTTTCAGACAGAAGAGTAAAGAAAGAGAAAACCACTAGACAAAAGCTAAAGTTCCTTATGGAAAAGCTTAAATTATTGCTAATTTAATTTTTTAATTATTGCTAAATTGCTACAAACAAAAAGATAAATATTATTTTTTATAATTGACCCAAAGACTAAAACAAAAGAAGAGAAAACTGAGGTGAAAGCAAAGGAGGAGATGTTGCACTGAGGGTGATGTTTTGTGTTTGGGCTGTGAACAGAACTCTGGTGCCGCACTGTTCACTGTTCTCAGTTTGAAAGAATCATAAAATCATCATTTTGCTTCTGAGTCTGTGACTCGTGTGTGAGTGTTCGGTTAAAACCATAAACAAATCTAAATAAAACTGCTCTTTAAACTCAGGATGGGGAAGGACTCAAAGGTCTGGGAGAGGTTCTCAAACGGACGTACACGTACTGACTGTGAAAAGTGTTTTATGAGGCAGTATATTAATGAAACAAAAGCAGTAGTTTGTTCTGCCTCCTCCACAGAGTAACGCTGTCTCCTCACTCCCACTGACGACTGTGAGAGGCAGCGTTACCATGACGACCGTGTGCATATTGTGAGCCTCACCAGAGAGATGACGGTGGCCCCGGCTCCGGCCAACGCCACGATGTACAGGTGGTAGGACAGGTAGAACTGTGGGAGAGAACCAGGACCAGGTTATCTACGTTATCCATTTGCACAAGGAGAAAATATCCTCATAATTTAAATCATTTTAACTCTAAACAAGTTTTCTTCTTTCCTTTTTGAGTATCTGCAAGTGCTTCTTTTGTGTATATAATATTTATAATGTATTATGTAAGTGTAACTCAGGGTTATTTATGCACAATTTTGATATTCTACTTTTGTTTCTTGTTCACTTATTTATCTCAAAATAAACATGAATAAAGAATGAAGAATGTAAATCGTGCCGTTTATAAATGTGTTTCCGGTAAATAATTTAGCCTGATCTACACTTGTGGTTTTGTGATGGCACTTTCTAGTTCATCTCCAGGAATTTACAAGAACTAGAGATAGAAGAAGTCTCTTAATGACAGAAAGGTTGCCATGGATACTACAGGGGGGAAAAGAACAAGCTATTGAGAACCGGGGGATGGAGACTTCTGATCAGGGTCGGAGGAGGAGTCTCTGAAAATCATCAGTCAAAATCATGGCTGCACGATATATTGGAAAAATATTGTTATCGCGATATTGGTACGTGCGATATCCATAACAAAAATATGAGCGATAATATATTTTTACCCCCTTTATTAAAGACAACAAAACAGACAGACAAAAAAGTATATAAATTCAGTATTTGCATTTGAATGTCACTAATGTTGTGCTTATTTTGTGTTATGTGTCTCTGGCGTTTTAATGCAGATTGTAGTTTTAGGTGAAAGACAAAAATATCGCAATAATATTGTTATCGAAATACTAAACACTAGAGGTGCAACGGTTCATCACTGATCCGTGATCCGTTCGGTTCAACGTCTTCGGTTCGGTACAGACGTGATCCGCGGTTTGATTTATGAAAAAAAAGTTGTGCGCACGTTGTTCAGTCCACACAACAGTGTGCGAGCAGAGGAACGGAGGAGCTTGAAAGCCCTGCGTCTTAAATCCCCAGTATGAGAGCATTTTGGCTTCACTGTAACTACACTGATAATTAATATTCGACAAAACTGTCACGATGTGTAAGCACTGTGGCACAAGAAAGACATGAGTGAAAAAAGCGTCTCAACGACCTATTGTCGCGGCATTTAAGCAGCTCCTTTACGCACAGTCAGACCGGGCTAAAGTCAACTCTCCCGCGCATCCTCAGCTGCGCTCACGACTGACGCTTGGAAGTCCCGCGGAACCTATAATAGATCCATGAGCGGAACCGCTCACTTCATCACCGCAGACTGGGAGATGAAAAGTCTGGCGCTGCAGACACGCCCCCTCTACGACAGTCACACAGTCACACAGCGCAGGTACTGACACAAGCAGCGGAGGAATGGAAGACAAAGGCCCAGTACTAATATCCCAGTCACAACTGATAATGCCAAAAATTAAATAAATGCAGTGAATGAGGCTGGGCCCAGAATGGACCCCCTCCTTGGGAGAATCAGGAAGGTGGTGTAATATCTAATGACTCATTTGACATGTTTCAGTCTGGCTTTAGACCACACCACAGTACTGAGACCGCTCTAGTCAAGGTAACAAATGATATTCGGCTTAACACTGATGCAGGAAAAGTCTCTGTTTTAGTCATGTTAGATCTGAGTGCCGCTTTCGACACCGTTGACCATGAGATTCTCATGCAGAGACTGGAGGACTGGGTTGGTGTTGCTGGTACCGCCCTAAGCTGGTTTAGGTCCTATCTAGAAGAAAGGAAGTATTGTGTGGAGATTGGAAACTATGTCTCAGATAATATGGCCCTGACCTGCGGAGTGCCACAGGGGTCGATTCTGGGACCTCTCCTGTTCAATATTTACATGCTGCCATTAGGTCAGTTAATTCAAAGTATGAAAGTGTCCTACCACAATTACGCTGATGACACTCAGATCTATGTCTCACTGACTGCAGGAGAGCATGGGCCGGTGGACTCACTCCTTCGCTGTATCCAGCGGATCAGTGAGTGGATGCAATGCAATTTTCTCCAGCTAAATGCGGACAAAACCGAAATGATTGTCTTTGGTCCCGAGAAACAAAGAGAGACCGTCATTTGTCACCTTCAGTCTCTCTCCCTAAGGCCCTTAAATAAGGTCAGAAATCTGGGAGTAATAATGGACTCTGACTTAAACTTCAATAGCCACATTGGATCGGTAACATCAGCAGCTTTTTATCATCTGAAAAATATTGCCAAAATTAAAAATATTGTGTCCAGGGCAGACTTGGAGATTCTTATCCATTCTTTTGTTTCCAGTAGGCTGGATTACTGCAATGGCCTGCTCACAGGTATCTCCAAACATGCAGTAAGACAGTTGCAGTATATTCAAAATGCTGCAGCCCGAGTCCTGACTAGAACCAGGAAGTACGACCACATTAGTCCGGTCCTCAGGTCTCTGCACTGGCTTCCCGTGGCCCAGAGGATAGACTTTAAAGCAGCTCTCCTGGTGTACAAGTCTCTCCATGGCCTTGCACCAAAGTACATCCATGATATGCTAGTCCCATATGAACCAGCCCGGACTCTGAGGAGCGCAGGGACGGGACTCCTGTTAGTGCCCAGAGTCAGGACTAGACAGGGGGAGGCTGCTTTTCAGATTTATGCAGCTGGAGTCTGGAACGGTCTTCCTGAGGATGTGAGACTGGCTGCCTCTCTGTCAATGTTCAAATCCATGTTAAAGACTTTTCTTTTTTCCCGTGCATACAACTAGAGAATTTTATCTTTTTAACACACCTTGTTATTTATTGTTGTAACTTTTTGTGTTTTTAACTATTTTATTGTTTTTAATTACTTGTGTGATTTTTATGTTTTTAAATTACTTATGTGATTTTAATGCTTTTTAATTACATATGTGTTTTTTTAATTGTATTTTAATGGTGATGATTTGTGCATTGTGTGGTGTGGACTGTGAGGCGCTTTGTGTTGCCCTGTGCAGGAAAAGCGCCCTATAAATAAAGATTGATTGATTGATTGAATATATGAGGGTAAATATCCTCATAAAGTGCCTTCTTATGTTGCACTTTGTGTTGTTTTTCATTAATTATGTTAAAAAGACATAATTGGATGGATGGAATATGCCTTCCATCCATCCATCCATTTCCTTCCCCTTAATTCATTTCTAGGTCAGGGGGGGCAGTCAGAGCAGGTGCTGAGTCCACATGAGCTGTGTTTATTAAAAAGACAAAACGTTTTTTTAGAAAAATGAACCGAAAAATGAACCGAACCGTGGCCTCTGAACCGAGGTACGAACCGAACCGTGATTTTTTCAAACCGTTGCACCCCTACTAAACACGAATATCGAATATCGCTCTAATTTCCAATATCGTGCAGCCCTAGTCAAAATCCAAAAATACTTCAGAAAAACCCCCAAAAACTTTTCTACCTAGGTGTAAAAAATAAATAATAATAATAGTATGTCATGGATGCTAGCGTTGTCAATACTCAGCGTTCCAAATTTTGAGTATTTTTAGACATAATTCCAAATAAATCCCTGTTCTTTTTCCTCATAATCCTCCAGATGACTCCGTGTCCACTTACCTCGCTGGTGTTGCAGATCTCTCCCAGCGTGGCCCCGCAGGCCTTTCCCGGCGTGGCGTTCATGGGGATGAAGCCTGCGGCACAAACATCAGAAACGTCAGCTTCGAGAGTCGCAGAAGACGAGAAGAGACACTCACTCTCTCCACTCTTCTGTGAGTCCTAATCTACACTTTGGGGCAAGACATTTCTCCCAACTATAATAATAATAATAGAAATAATAATAATAATGGTAAAAATGTGTCTTTATTTTCTAAAATAAACTGCAAAATGTGATGGAAAAATAAGTCAAAAATTTATCAAAGTTTGCAAAATGTGTCACAATTTTTGCACATTTTGACTGCCTTAAAACTAGATTTGCCAGTGGGACGAAGCAACAATATAATGTTTTGAAAAATATATACTAGAAATGTCTTCCTTGGAATGAGAAAACGAAGCAAAAGTCTTGAAATAGGACTAAAAGGCTTTGTCCCAGATTGTGCTCAAATGAAGATAAAAACCAATTATTATCTCAAATTTCATCATTTTTTTGCAGTGGAGGATTTAGGGCTTTGAAAAAAATAACAATCCAATTATTTATATTGATACAAGCGAAAAGAAGTTTCCAAAGTGCTGCACAGAGATCAAATCAACACATTTAAATAATGCAGGTTTGCCAGTGTTATGTCTAAAAAAATATATAACTATAATAATAATAATAAAAACAATAAAAAACCAGTTAGAAATAAAAATTTGATAAAAAAAATTAAATACTAGCTTTCTGATTTAGAAACAAAAACGAAAAACAATAAAACAAAATAAATAAAAATAATTATTCACCGATAAATCTCCTCTTTTTGGGTCAAAATTATTTGACCCAAAAAAAGCGTAGCACAGCAAACCAGAGCTAAAATAATTATTGAGAGTACAGAAGAAAGGGATTAGGGCTGCACCATATTGGAAATCTGTGCGATATTAAATATGGTATTGCGATAACGATATTATTGCAATATTTTTGTCTTTCACCTAAAATTGCGTCTGCTTTAAAACACAAAAGACAAATAATAAAAATAAGCACAACATTAGACCCTCAAATGCAAATAGTTATACTTTTTTATGTCTGTTTTGTTGTTTTTAATAAAGTAAAAAAATTAATTAATATATAATTTTTTTTTAAAATTGTAGATCTTTTTGGTATGCATATCGCACGCACCAATATTGCGATAACAATATTTTTCCGATATATCGTGCAGCCCTAGGTGGGATTATATTCATTTTCAGACAGACTTAATTCCCTCATTTTAGGCAGATGAATAAATAACTGAACAAATAAAAAAAATTTAATATAAAAATCCAGTGCAACCCTCCCGTCCACATGTGTAAACACTAACAGTAACCCCCCCAATCCCAGTTCGTGACGCAAAAAAAAACCCAAAAAAAATTGATGATCATCTTTTCCGTCCATAATTGGGGTTAAAACATTTGATTTGACGTGGGAAAGGAGATGCCAGCGAAACATATGTGGTCCCAGTTTGATTTGAGCACGAGCCAGCTGCCGTCCTTCGAATATGGGTCACTAGCTTTGCCCAGATCCAATCACGGCTCACGTAATCTAAATGTATTGTCTGACCTATGGAATGTGACTCTTAAACCAGCCTTTGTCAAATCCGCAGCATCGGTTTGCGTTCATACACTTAAAATCACGTTTTTAGTTCCCTCTACAGTATATTCAAAGGTCCACGTGAGATTTCGATTTTAGAAAGAGAGAGAATCGGGATATGAAGCAATCGCAGTCTTTCTGGGTTCTAAGCCGTTGATTGGTTGCAGCTCAGAGAGAGAGAGAGAGAAAAAAAAAGGATGAGATAAAAAATAAAAAGGGGCAGAAAAGGAGAGGTTTAAAATAGACTCATTCAAAATTAAATAATCCTCAATAATTCAGCGACGGCGCTCTTCAAACACAGATATTCATTATGGTTGGCACAGATAGAGGCGCTACATTAGCTCAGCCATTTATAAAGACAGCTCTCTATATTTCATGAGCTTGTAAAAAAATAAAAAATAAAAACATTTAATCTGTAATTTTCCTATTCTTCTTGTGCTCAAAGGAATTAATTTTGGGAGAGGCAGATGTACCATTAAAAATTAGCTCTGGTGTGTACACTGGGGTAGTCTTGCGCAGTTTTTCCAATGGGGTTTTACTGCAAATGGCAAATAAATTCTTGAATCCTGAACTATTTTGATTCTTTGGGATTTTCTCCTAAAACTCTATTCATTTGCAAAGATAATGGCTTGCACACAGGAGCATACATTACAACTGAATTAACCAAATACTTGGTAATCAGAAGCTAATTCAAGATGTGTTTTTTTAAAGCTGAGGTACACAACTTTCCAAACAATGAAAAAAGAAAGCTCTCAATCAGCTCTCATCCCAAAATGTAACTCACTTTTTTCAACAAGTAGTATTTAAGAAACTGGCTTAATACAGATTCAAATGAAATCCAATTTGACATGTTTTAGATTAATAAAGGGAATTAATGTTTGTGAACTGATGTCACACTGATACACACTGGGCAAAAACTCTCCAGCTCCAACAGCACAGAAGAAAATATCTCTACTTGGTCTAATTCATGTTTAAAAATCTCTAAATTAAATAAAAATTGTGTGTATATTGTGCCAAGCATTTGAAAGATGTATTACTCTCTTCAAACCTCCCACAAAACAAAGTGAGTAAAGGACATGCGTAATAAACAGTAAGATGTGCCCTGACAACCGACCAATCAGGAGCCTTCCGTCCCCTCGGCTTAAAGGTGCAGTAAGCGATGTTGTTAGCTTAGCCGTAGCACCAAACCAACCTAACCCCAACTAACCCCAACCCTCCAGAATTTTCTTTTCTTTGTCACAACAGGAAGAGTGAAGCAAACGTGAAATTGGCATTTTCTGTTCAGCCATTTTAGGTTTTAGAAAATCCAATAACTCAGGTGCACTCGCGAGAAATGGGAAGAGGGTGAAGGCGGTTAAACGCATCCCATTGGTTTAATTTTATTGGTCCGCTCCAAAATATTATTTATTAATTTTTGTAGACTATAGGCATCTGGTCAATTCCATTACTATTTGAAAACACATGATAACTTGATACTTTTAGGGTTTAGGGACATTTTCCCACAATATTTAAAAAAATGCGTCTGGATAAAATCACTGACTGACGGTAAGCTAGTGAGTAGCGCAAGTGTGGTCAGACCAGTGCCGATCCTGATTGGCTCTTGGTAACTCAGTCGTTGCTACCCACAAAATGTGAAAACATTTGGCTTAATATTCTCGCTCAAATCGCACGTTTGAGCTAGCTCTAATCCAGGGGTCTCCAACCTGTGGCCCGGGAACTATCAGTAGCTCGCCACCCCCTTCCAAGAAGCTCTCCAATGCATTTTGATTCAACATAAATATTCTGAATATGAATACAACGTAGGATTCACAAGCCCACAACTTAAGTGAATAAAAAAAGTTGTGACTGTAAAAAGCGACTGTAGATAGTAACAGTACCCATTCTAAGGCTAGCTCTCACTGTTTTTTTTATTTTTTAAGGAGTAGCTCTGTCTCATTCTAAGTAAGTAATCTATTTATATAGCGCCTCTCACAGACCAGAGTCACAAAGCTCTTTACAATTATTGGCCTCTGTCTCTCCCTCCACACAGAGATGGGAGCAGGGTCACCATACAGGAGGTGCATCCAGACCTATTGTATATGTTTTTAGTGGCAGAGGAAACCAGAGCACCTGGAGGAAACCTATGCAGTCCTGAGAAAGCGTAAAAAAGGTTGCAGACCCCTTTTCTTATCTAAACCTTTACAAATATTAAGGCTAACACTAAAAGCTATTGGTCAGTCCACTCCTAATATACAGCCTTTTGGTGTGTGTTTCTTGCATGGTATGTGTGTGTGTGTGTGTGTTGTGTAGTCACCGTATTGCCGGACATCCACGCAGATGTCGTCTGGGTTGGTGATGTTGGCGTCCGGGTTCTTCATGGCTCCGCAGGTGCTCCACATGTTGAAGAAGAGGTACACAGGGACGGCAGTGAAGCCCACGATGGCCAGGAAGCACAGGAACAGCAGGTAGGTCACACACATGAACTATGCCAGACAAAAACAACACACACACACACACACACACACACACACACACACACACACACACACACACAAGAGAGAGGTTTTACTGAGAGTTCAAATGTTCTGGAGTTATAATCACTCTTAAATGCGCTGGAAACGTCAGCCAGTCCTGAGTCGCTGTGAAGCAGTTGCTGTTTTTTTGCTTTACAATTGTTATTTTTTTGCTTTTTTTGCTAACCCTAACTGTAAATGTTACTGCAACACAATGCTCCTGGTTTTACACTGATGGCCCTAATCTGCCTTCAAATACTTCTGATAACAGTAATTCAGAAGAGATATTTGGATTTCAAAATGAGTTTAACAGCCCCTATTTTCATTTCAATGTCCTGCCCTGCACCTGTTTACCAATCAGAAAGTCCCTGTTGGAAAGATATGTGGCCGTAGAACTAAAAATAGGTCTTGTTATGATTCTAAAATCTCAAATTAACGACAAAACAAGGATTTCTATCTTTGTGAAAAAGGTGTTGGTTATAGATTTGTTGTTGACAAAACTCTTGTCTGTTCAGCTGTTATGGTCCCAGCTGGATTCGTCTGCATATCTGGCAACCTGAGTCAGGGAGAGTGGGAGAGGCTGCAGTACCACTTTTGGCCAGATTTGTACATACTGCTCCTTTAACGACTGAAAGGACAATGTGGAAGAAATTCACACACAACATGAAGAGACTTAGATTCAGCATTAAGTCGCAACAAGATACATGTGAAAACCACTGTAAAAAGTTGGAAATAAACGTAAATGACAACTGACTCCATGATCTGCTATGTCTATTTTTGTTTTGTTATTTGTTGTTGCAATGTAAAAAATCTTAATACAAATACAAAAAAAGCATCTATCTATCTATTTACAGTATGTTTAATGAGGCATAGCTTGTTCCTAAAGCAGCCAAAAAGCATGGTATGTCTCCTTTAAAGTCATTTTAATCAGCCGGGCTCATCTCACTGGACATGTGCAGTAATTGAAGTAACCAGGCCAGAGAACGGCTCGAGGGGGAATGCATTTAAAAGTCTATATTTGTCAAAGTTGGCCTACTCCGTCACATACACTCCAAGCAATTAGTACACACATTTTTTATTTTTTATTTCAACTGCTACTTGAGCAATGTTTAACAGGGTAGCGGCGCTCATCCAAATCTACAGAGAGAAAAAGTATTGAGAAAAAAAAAAATCCAGCTATGGTCCAGAAAGATTTGATAAGGTTCAGTTTCATAATTCACAGTAACAATTGCTTTTTACTCAAGTCATTTCTGGGTCATAATGTGCATCTTCTGGCAACATTTTGGCTACACTCTGGTTGACTGAAATAATTCCCAGCATTGACTTCACTGGTTGACGCTCATGACCAAGTTATTGCACTTTCAAGAATGGTAAACAGTATATGGATTTTTATATATAATATTTGGGTAAAGTCAAAAGACAAATATATAGAAAACATAAAAACTGTAGGTACATGTCTGTGGGAAGCCAGATTGTGTGTAGAGGTTCAACAATTCTGCTACTTAGGCGTCTAAAGAGTTCATTTGATTATAGATATGTTGTTATTTGCCTTTTTTTTTTTTTGTTGTTGCCTGTTTCTTTGGAGATTCTTCCATATTTGAGCCGTTTCATCATGAATTCCCGGCAATACATTCCAAATTAGAATAAAATGTTCCAGATGATCCAAAGACAGAAGCACAAAACCAAGTAGAGCTACCAGGAGAAAGCAATACACTGCAAAAAAAGATAATATATGAGGAATAATGGCTTGAATCGAGGGGTTAATATCTTAATTTAAGTACATTCTGAATTAAAACAAGATTAGCCAATGGGACAAAGCCATTTCAAGAACTGTTGCATTATTTTCTCATTCCAAGGGAGGTATTTCTTGTATCTTTTTTAAGAACAAGATACATTTTCTTTGTCCCAATGGCAGATCTTGAGCCATAATAAACTTTTTTTGCAGTGTAGGAACAAATCAAAATCAAACTGTTCAACTATTCCAATTTGACAGCTGCTAATTATGCCATTCTCTGCTCGCACATGCAAACGCCCACGCCGCCAGTGCTCATGAATAGTGCGTATTGTGTGCGTTTTGAGTGGCATGTGTAGTATTGTGTGTGTGTGTGTGTGTGTGTGTAGTATCGTAGGGAACGTACAAAGGCCGTGATGCAGCGGCCGCACACTGTGGTCTTAAAGTCGCTCTGCAGTTCCTTCTTGATGGCGGCGGTGGTGTAGAAGCCCTCCCCCAGCAGCACGATGGCGTACACGAAGAAGAAGGACGCGATGCCGTAGATGATGTACTGAAAGATCTGGATTCTGTGGACAAAAACAACTATCGGGTTAGTTCACAGAGAGGTAGTGTGGTTTTATGGCACTACACGGCAAATAATAATCAAATATGAAGTAATAATTGCTTGAATCAAGTGTTTTTTAATCTAAATTTCAAATCTAAAACATTTAATCTAAAACACATATTATGCCAATGGGATGAAGCCATTTTGTACTTATTTTTCATTACTTTTAGTAGATTATAATGATCTAGAAATGGTTAAACAAAGGACTGGATTTGCCTTCGATGAAATGTGTCTGTGCTTTGAAGTCTATAAATGTATTTCAGGTTTTTAAAGAAAGCCACAGAAGCATATTTTTCTCCTCCAGACTCTGCACTATAATGTGAAGCAGGGAATTGGTCATTAAGCCACCATTACCCACATTTTGCAACTAAGGTAATTGGGTTCAGTCTACAGCAGTAGCGGGAGTAGGTTAAAAAAGAAAAGTTCTCAAAGAAATGCATTTTCAGGTTTTCAAAGGTACAGATATATATTCACCATGTTGTTAAGTTAAAACTGGTCTTGGCTTTGCTTATACGTCAGAAAAGGCCAGAAAAACAGAATCTACCTAATTTTTCTCCTAAACTAACATATACTAAATCTTGTCAGACGCAATGACAGTCGTCCCTTCCATTTTTTCTCAGCCCCAACCAAATATTTAGTCCAAAAATGTGCGTTATTCAATTAATTATTACTTTGTGAATCAACCTACACACGTTTTTACAAATATATTGACAAAGCATATGAACAAAATAATGGCATCTTTAATGACTACATTCAGGTCGGGATAAGACAACAATAAATAACTTCAGGATTTGATTTTTTCCAGTGACAAAATGACAAAATAATGAAAAATATAAGTGAAATAGTGCCTTTTAATGTCTTGATTGAGGATAAGTATTTTGCTTTTTACCATGACCCATTTATTCCACACATCAACAAACCTGCGTGCTCTACTTCCTTCAGTTTCTCTGAGATTATCCTCTGTTTACTTGGTGGAGAAAAAAATGTCTTAAACCTGGGGTACTATCATTAGTTTGTAGTATTTTTGTAGCCCCTGTCCCACTTCATCCCACCACTCATTGATTTGGATGTAAACGAGCAGGGATGTGGGATGCACTTTTGGCACTTACACGAAGGTGAGGGTCTCATGGTCGCTGGACACTCTGGAGAAGTGGGTCTCCAGCATGGTCAGGGTCCCGGTCAGAGCCACGTGTCCGCAGCCACAGAACAGGGCGACCCCAGAGAAGCACAGGATGGTGGCCACGAGGGAGGCGTAGGGCACCCCTCCCAGACACTTGATGCAGCACTCGAAACATCCTGCAGGGGGCGAAAGAGAGAAGTCACGTCTTTGTCATGTCACGAATTGCGTTATTACTGAGAAAACATCACAAAAGTGGCATATTGTGAATGTCTTTCTTTGTGATTGTTGGATTTGTTGCCACTGCGATTAACATTTCACAATCAAGAGACCTCAAAATGTCACTAAGAGCATAGCTAATGCACTGATGCTGCCAAGCCATTCAGAATCAACACAGCAAGACGCATAGTAGATTGCATTATTGTCTCATTACGCCGTATCTGCACTGACTGCCCTTGAGTGAAATTATGCTGATAAAAAAATACAAAATTGATCATTCTCTTCTCACAGCCTGTAATCATGAACCTATTGTGTCTTTGTTCCCTCTGCCTCGGATGCCGTTTTACCCATGGGTTTTTGAATAAGAAAATTGCATTACACCAGGTGAGGATATACTGCAGGTGAATGGATATAAAACTTAGTAGTGCAGTAGATATTTTTGCATAATAAGTATTGCTTTAGTTTGATTTTGTATGTAATGTCAAAACACATCAGTGAGGCATCTATCTATAAAAGCAAGGAACGTCTGTCTATCTGTGCGTGTGTGCGTGTCCAAGCAGTCGTACCAAAGTGAACTGAAGTAACATTCCAGCGAGGTTGCCCTAGTAACCGTAGCAATTATTTCTTTGATTACAGCCAATAAGCATTTGAACAGTGAAAATAACACGTTGATGGTAGATGATTATGGGTTGGCTCAGGTCAGAAGAAAAAATGTAACTTTGAGTCTATTTTTTTCCACAACGATTTCATATTCACATCCCTAATATCAGACATGTCAAAACTACCGGAGAAATCATTCTTGGCCCTTTGAATTCTGTGCAAAATAAAAAAAAATTCCCATAACGACTTTTTACCACAGCCACCAAAGTCCATGTCTTACAAAACCAATAATAACAAAACCCCACATTGTATTGTGTTGCTTCTGTGGTAAGGTACGAGTGACATGTTAGTCCTGTATGAACCAACTCGAACTCTGAGGAGCACAGGGACTGGCCTCCTGCTGGGACTCTGAGGAGCACAGGGACCGGACTCCTGCTGGTGCCAGAACTGAACATAGGGAGGCAGCCTTTCAGATTCACACTGCTAAAATCTGGGATAATCTTCCTGAAAATGTGAGACATGCCTCTTCTCTGGTTAAAATCCAGGTTAAAAGCAGTTAACTGAGAGATTTCATATTTTTATCTTGACTCTTTTTCATGTGCTGTGACTTTTTGTGCCTTGTGTGTGTTTTTATCTTGTATCATTCAGCACTTTGAGATGCCTTTTGAATGAATTGTGCTATAAAAATAACCTTGCCTTGCCTAAATCTACTAACTAATGGTGTATGGTACTGTGGAAAGAGTTTGGACACCCCTGCCCTATAGGAACAGACATAACAACAATAGAAATAATACCATCACACACACACACACACACTTATATAACAACGCCTTCACATCTTTCACAAAAGCCCACATAAAACCCGCATCACTGGCTACTGCTGACGACACCGACTGCAACACCGGGGTCTTCGGTCTTCTTTGATCCCTCAGTCCTGTATTGGCCTCGATCCAGCGCGGTTCCAGCGAGTGTTTAGTGTGAGGTTTTTTGTTTTTCTTTTGGATGTCAACGAGACGAGTTTCTCCTCGACAAACCGGGGACTGTCGGAGCGTGTTGAATATTACATGCCACTTTCAAAAGCGCCGTCTTCTCTCTTATGACTTTAAAGGAGCGCTGGCTACACTCTCCGCCTGTTGCATGAATAAGTCATGGCCAGAGCTGAAAACATGGAATATCATTGTTTTTGTGTGGCTGTTTTAAGACGTATAGGGCTGTTATGCTAAAAAATCACTGTTGAATTTGTTCCGACAGTTTGGTGGTGAAAGAGAAAGCAATTTGTGGATTTTATTTCCATTTTCTTATGTAATTGAATTAGTTCTGTCTACAGTAAACTCCACTGAGAGATTCTGTTTCTAAGTGTCTCACCATGGCCTCAATTTCATCACACCTTGAGCAGTTATGTAAATCTTTCATTAGACCCGGCCGGGAAAAAACCAAATGAAATAAATAAATGAACAAGCCATCCTCTGCAGTTGTCTTGTATAATGTAATATGCTTCCCAGCGCTTCCCATTTTAAATATCTAATCTTGCACTTTTGACCAGTATATAACATATTTACATTTTACTATATCTTAAAGGTGCAGTAACGGACTCAGGTTAGCTTAGCAGTAGCATGTCTGTAGGATGTCCTGATGTTGACTAGATGTTTTTGCCCTGGCTGTGTCCCGAGTCTTCTTATACGACGCATATTCCTCATCTGATTTTCTTATTTTTGCCACAACAGTGTGAGTGGGTAGCCTGACCTTATCCATCCCTACACTCCGCTCAATCATCATTTCTCTGCATGTAACGTCTGGGTCTGGTCCCTGTGTCTGTGATTACAATCGGTTGAATTCCATCTGACCAATCAGCGAGCGCGGGAGTTGTTGGTGACGTCAAGAGTTTGCGCTGAACAGGCAAGTTGTAGTTTGGCAATGGCGAAAAATGCGATAGTAAAGTAATCCGGTCTAGTTTTATCAAGAAATTGAAGCCAGAGCAAGAGGAATGTTTAGCAAATATAATCGCTGGCAAAGATTGTGGCGCTACTCCCCACGGGCTCCGTTAGCAACAAAGGAGATGGCTAAAGCTAGGCTAAATGCTAACGACCAGATTGATTCAGTCGTTTCAATCTGCAAAAGGAGTTAACCCCTCCCACCTGTTAACGAAGCTCAATGGAGCGCCTCCAGACCTTAGTACGAAATGTAATTTGTACTATGGTGTGGTACGACCAGACTAGTGAGTGGGTGATAAACGTGAAATTGGCACTTTTTCATTTTAGAAGTTTTTGAAAATCCGACACTCAAAAACAACTCAGGCAGGTTGGAGGGGGAATTAACTCATCCCATCGGTCCGCTCCAAAATATTTATGATTAATTTTTTGAGTTTAAAAGCATCTGGTCATGTCCAATCCTATTTGAAAGCACATGATAACTTAAAAACTTTTGGGCCATACAACTTATTTGCAATAAATTGTGATTGTAGATTATCAGAGGTTTTCCTGTTATTTTGATTTGGGAATAAGGCCAACTTTACACTATTATATCCATATCATTCTCATTAAAATCAATAATAATAAATATATCCGTATATTTCTTTGATTCATTGCAAAGCCCAAGAATCCAGCCCTCTTCCACCGTACTCCCAATAATCTAACACTGTCTTGCGTCTTATATAAGGCTTTGTTAAAAATAGCTCCTCAAAGCAAAGTGGGAAGTAAGTAGTAAGTAAGTAAGTTTGCTATCCACTCAGCCACCGTGCCGCCCTTTTTTATAAGGAAGGGCGGCACGGGAAGTTATTTTGCAAAAGGAGAAAGACAAACGGAATTTCTCGTGTGCCACTTTTGGGCCGTTTCCATGGCAACCCGCTCCCTTGTGCTGTTTGAAGAAGTCTTTTGATGCGTCTGCCATTTTACCGTGCACACTTTCTGCAGCGATACGCACGGATTGGTAAATACGGCGCGTTGGTAGGTTCCGTGGTGACGCGGTGAGACGGTAACAACAGGCGACCGCAGCTTAGCAACCCTGACAGTCTGCATCAACCTCATGTGGAGCATCTGCACTTTGATACGTTCACACTGGGGACGCAGCCAGGTCACCTTTTACCGTTACTACAGTAATCAGAAAGAAACACCAGAAATCTGACTAAACTTAAAGGTGATGTCTGCAACTGCACTTCATTTAGATTACGATACATTTTTTGACCGCGTGACCCTCTAGTAACATCTATATAAGTATTTTTTGTATCGTTAAAACAGTTCAGACCTAGGGAGGTGTTCTGGTCATGTCCCATCTGGAGGAGGCCCCGGGGATGACCCAAGACAAGCTGGGGGGACGGTCTCCCAGCTGGCCTAGAAACGCCTTGGGGTCCCTGGGCGTCTCTGCTTAGACTGCTGCCCCCGTGACCCGGCAACGGATGAAGCGGAAGAAAACGGATGGATGAATAGTTTAGAATAAGAATCATGTTTATTGCCATTGTAAGTAACAGGAAGTCACAAACTAATAAATCGCTTTGGCATGCCAGACCTATTGTGCATGTTTTTAGTGGTAGGGGAAACCGGAGCACACGGAGGAAACCTACGCAGACACGGATAGAACATGCAAACTCCACTCAGAGAGGCCCTGTACTGACCGGGATTCAGATCCAGGACCGTCTTGCAGAGAAGCAAGAGTGCTATCTGCTAGTAAAGGGTCTACTGTTTAATGTCTCTGCTAAAACTATAAACAATTCAATTGTAGATGCTAAGATTGAGCTCAGAAATACTTATTTGGATCAAGAACTAAACACCCTAATTTGAACACTTTATTAACTTTATTGTTCATGTATCTTGTGCCGTGTGCTTCTCATTCTGGAAATGCAACACTGACATTTCCCCACCGTGGCACAAATAAAGTATCTCTTCATCTCGACTTCCTCATGGTGCAGTGGATGCAGCGACTAAAACCACTCCCCATGGTTTTGACGACGGCTCAAAGTTGTCACATTTCAAAAGTTACATAAATCTACCCACAAAATCAAAGCAGAAGCAAAAACCTCCGCGATGGAAAACTAGGACGATTCTTCTAATGCAGTCTTTTCAGAGCCGGTCCAGTTTCATTCAACGGACAGCCACTATCGACATCTTTAAAAGCCCGGATTGATTTCATTGTCCTGGGGGAAACATCGATAGCACCACGGCCTAGAGGAGGGCCACGGTTTAGCGCCAATTAAATGGACTCTGGTGCTTTCAAAAGTCAGTAAATAAAACAAACCGTGGCAGGCTTATTGAGAACTCCATCAAAATAAAAACAATTCAAAAGATGCTTGTTATTGAGATGAAGTCAGTGGCGCAGCAGAAGCGGGAGGTGAAGTTGCGTAATGCTTCTAAATCCCATTAATGTTAAA